ATTGTTAGCTCTCTTATTAATTCTTGATTAGTTTGCTTTCATAAGATCACATAAAGTTCGAGGTCCTTTTCACCGTAATTTTGCTTGCTTTCAATCTTTTCACCTCGTTTTTCTTTGATTTAGTGACGATCACGTGAACCCATGTTAAAGACTCGGCCTTTTTCATCAAATTTTCAAAACCCTCATTCGCATTGATCTGATTTATCATGTGATTGACGTTTTTTTTGTCGTTTTTGGGTTTCTGTTAAAGCCCAGGAGCTCAATTCTGCATTCTCCTCACATATTTGTTGTTTAAAATCATGCTTACTGTGCTTTCTACTTCTAGCTAGATAAAATGTATTTGAACTGCTAATAACTCCCTTCTTTTCCCCCATTCACTTTTCAGTCTATTGTTGAAGAGATTTTAAAGAAAAACTCCTGACTGTCAGTAAATGGCCTCTACACTGCTGAATTCGGTGAATTTGAATTCCATTAAAGCCGTAAAACATGACTATGTGGGTTTGAAGCCTTTAAAGTTTGATCAGAATAATATTCACTGCACGAGGCCTCCATTGACTAAAATCACACGAAGGGCACTTTTGGTAAGGGCCAGTGAAAATGGTCCTATAAAGAAAATGGGGATGAGTGACGTGGAGTGTGAAGCTGCTGTTGTTGCAGGGAATGTTCCGGAAGCTCCTCCGGTGCCCCCCAAGCCTTCTTCGCCAGCTGGCACACCGGCCGTGGCCCCCCTTGTAAGAACCTATTATACATCTTCAAGTTGATGGATCAAATTTATTCATATTCTGTTCTTTTTTTCAATTTTTGTAATGTATGCTGTATTTTAGGATTCATTGTGTGATTGAAAGTTGAAACTTGAAACTTAAAAGTGTGATAAATAATATTTATGATTTTTTTTTAATCTGATATTGTTTGTTAACAGCCACTTAGTAAGCGGCCACGTCGAAATCGTAGGTCACCGGTATTTAGGGCCGCATTCCAAGAGACTAATTTAAGTCCTTCGAATTTGGTTTATCCACTTTTCATTCATGAAGGTGAATTTGAAACTCCACATGATACTCGCAAATGTCTATTATGTATTTTAACTGTGGTTAAACTATAATTACGCATTAATTTACGCAGGCGAAGAAGATACACCAATTGGAGCTATGCCGGGGTGCTATAGGCTTGGGTGGAGACATGGGCTTGTGGAAGAGGTTATTGCTTTGAAATCTATACTTTCGAGGAGTGTTTATTATTATTTTTTATATAGTTTGCAAAATGAGATGCTTTTTGAGTGCGAAATACTTCAAATGGGTTGTTCTTTTGATAATTGATGATTCTGAACTATAAACTGAATGGAATGCCTTTGAATTTCCGTTATTTGTATTTGAATTCTTGGTTAAAGTTTTTCTTCAGTGGCTAATTTAAAAAAAGAAAATGTGATTGTACCTAAGGTTATTTTTATTAGTTGATCTCCGATTATAGTTTCTTTGAACATGTGAATTTTTGACTAGTAACATCCTTAAAAACAACAATATTTTACAAAATATCAATAAATATGCAGTCAAAGAGGGGGAAAAAAGAAAAAAACAAACTCTTCGATTNTCGATTAACATATAAGATTTTTTTTGTAAAAAAATTGGTTGGTGTAAGAAAGTTAAATAAATTATTTTTAAAAGGTGAGATTTATTTGAAATTTTGAATGTGTATGAAATAAAACTAAAATACTTTAAATGGTTTGTTCTTTTCATAATTGATTCTGAACTGTAAACTGAACGGAATGCCTATTTGTGTTTCTCAGCTATTAGACTCTATCGTTTGAATTTCTGTTATTTGTATTTAGATTCTTGGTTAAAATTTTCCTTCAGTGGCTAATGTAGAAAAAAAAAATGTGATTGTACCTAAGGTTATTTCCAGTAATTGATCACCGATTATAGTTTCTTTGAACATGTGAATGTTTGACTAGTAACATCCATAAAACAACAAAAATTTTACAAAATATCAATAAATATGCAGTCAAAGAGGAAAAAAAAAACCTCTTCGATTAACATATAAGATTTTTTTTGTAAAAAAATTGGTTGGTGTAAGAAAGTTAAATAAATTATTTTTAAAAGGTGAGATTTATTTGAAATTTTGAATGTATATGAAATAAAACTAAAATACTTCTAATGGGTTGTTCTTTTGATAATTAATTCTGAACTGTAAACTGAACGGAATGCTTATTTGTGTTTTTCAGCTAGTAGACTCTATCGTTTGAATTTCTGATATTTGTATTTAGATTCTTGGTTAAATTTTTTCTTCAGTGGCTAATGTAGAAGAAAATGTGATTGCACTAAGATTATTTCCATTAATTGATACCGATTATAGTTTCTTTCAACATGTGAATGTTTGAACAGGTGTCTAAAGCTCGAGATGTTGGTGTTAACAGCATTGTGCTCTTTCCAAAAGTACCCGATGCTTTAAAGGTGAGTCTTTTAGCATTTATCGGCTGTTATTTATTTAGCATGGACATAAAATCCTTTCTCTAAAATTGTGTTAAGGGGCTGATGGATGATTAGCTTCATTGAATTCTGGTTTAGACTTCTACAGGAGATGAAGCTTACAATGAAAATGGATTAGTGCCTCGAACAATACGGCTGCTTAAAGACAAATATCCAGATCTCGTATGTTCTTTTTTTTTCTGCTGTATGGGTTTTTTCATTTTTTGTTGGTCTATTTAAGCTAAAATGTGCCTTATTCGAGTCTAATAAACATTGTACATTATTTTTAGATTATCTATACTGATGTTGCTCTCGATCCATATTCCTCTGATGGGCATGATGGCATTGTTCGAGAAGACGGTAAATTTTTTTTTTTTTTTTTTTTTTNAGTGATTTTTCTCTGTGTGTGTGTGTGTGTTTTTTTTTCGTTATGTATAGTTCTTTACTTATGTTTATAATTTTTTTTTTAATTTTCTAATGAACTTCATTTTTGTAGGCCAGAGCAGGAGCAGATGTTGTGAGCCCGAGTGACATGATGGATGGTCGTGTGGGAGCTATTCTATCTGCTCTTGATGCTGAAGACTTTCACCATGTTTCCATTATGTCCTATACTGCCAAGTAATTATTCTTTTTTTTTTTTAAACTAATTATCTTTGCATTATCTTAAAAAAAATGACTCTTGATGTTATTACAATGTTTAAGCCTCAATATGCTCATTTCTATGAACAGAAAACTCAAATTTTTCCTTTCATTTTTCTCTCTGTCCTTAAATGACAAAGTATTAACAAGCCACATTACATTAGCCAGACAATGATATTATTTATTTATTCATATTCACTTTATCTTTCTAATTGAATTCATATTTAAGGTATGCAAGCTCATTCTACGGTCCCTTCAGAGAAGCATTGGACTCAAATCCACGATTCGGAGACAAAAAAACGTATGTTTTGTTCTTTTCCTAAACCAAATTCTACTAACAAATCTTACTGTTTTACTGAATATACAACAACAACATAGCCTTTAGTCCCAAGCAAATCGGGGTAGGCTAGAGATGAAACCCAAGAGAAACACAAAAAGACTCGAACCGAAAGGAAGAGATCGAAAAAAAAACGAGAGAGAGAAAGGAGCAAAAGTCACGGTTCTGGCACGTTGATAGCGAGCCTCCAAGCGCTCCTATCCACCGCTAAATCCTTAGAGATATTCCAATCTTTAAGGTCTCTCTTAACCGACTCTTCCCAAATGAGTTTAGGCCTACCTCTACCTCTCTTAACATTCTCGACCCGCTGTAGAACTCCCCTACGCACCGGTGCATCAGGAGGCCTCCGTTGGACATGTCCGAACCACCTCAGCCGATGTTGAACCAATTTCTCCTCAATTAGAGCCACCCCGACCCTATCTCGAATATCCTCATTCTGGATTCTATCCCTTCTTGTGTGCCCGCAGAACCAACGCAACATACGCATCTCTGCTACACTTAGTTGTTGGACATGTTGCCTTTTTGTAGGCCAACATTCAGCACCGTATAGCATCGCCGGGCGAATCGCCGTCCTATAGAACTTACCTTTTAGCCTTTGTGGCACCCTCTTATCACAGAGAACGCCAGACGCCTGACGCCATTTTAACCAACCGGCTGCAATTCTATGCCTAACATCAGCATCAATGCCGCCATCCATTTGTAGCATCAATCCCAAATACCGGAAAGTCTCCTTCTTGGCCACCACTTGCCCGTCAAGGGTAACGTCACCATCATCATGTGAAACCATGCTGAAAGCGCACGTCATATACTCGATCTTCGTCCTACTAAGTCTGAAGCCTTTCGACTCTAACGCGTCCTTCCACAGCTCCAACTTCCTATTTACCCCTGCTCTACTCTCGTCAACTAGCACCACATCATCAGCAAAGAGCATACACCAAGGGATATCACCTTGTATGTCCCTTGTGACCTCATCCATCACCAAGGCAAATAGATAAGGGCTCAATGCTGACCCCTGGTGTAGTCCTATTTTAATTGGGAAGTCGCTGGTGTCGCCCCCACATGTTCGGACACACGTCATCGCATCCTTGTACATATCCTTGATGAGGGTAATGTACTTAGATGGGACTTT